TTGGGATGGGACGTAGTCTTCTTGAGATAGAAGTTGACTGGACGACGCCCCTTGTGTGACCTCTTGGCCTCCAACAGTCATAGAAGTGTAGAGAAGTTCTAGGCCTGTTGGAATGCGGCTTGCGCCCGTGGAGGAAGTGTATCAAATGTCTTGAATACCCGCTAACGAGCTATAAGCCCCCTCCATGGCTTGATACTGAAAATAAAATTCAAACTAATTAGTATGAAACACCAAAAAAAAATTAATAATAATAATAATAATAATAATAATAATAATAATAATAATAATAATAATAATAATAATAATAATAATAATAACAATTTATGAATTTACGTCAATCTTTTGCCGCTCGACAATTTGTTGATAGTCATTGTCCTGTTGGACCACCGTATAATTGCTAGGGTCACTGATCAGTCTCACAGTCCTACTGTGAAACCAATCAATGTAACTCTCTTCAGGCTGTAAGAATTGATCCACAGGTTCATCTGGGAGGGCATTGGTCTCCCTCTTCGACCCAAGTTTTCCCAAGCTTCGAATGAAAGGCGGCCAAATCAGTAAATGCCCTCCCAGTCATTTTCTGGCCTCGGTGGTGTGTCTCTCATTCAGCCTCACGCCTAATAATCGGAGTTTGGGGGATGGACTGTCGACATCAAACTGACGGAGGACCATGTCAGGCTGGTGGGGCTCACGGATGTTCCAATCAAGATCCACCATCAAAACATTTGGATCTTCTGTACACTCGTTCAGGAGTGTAGAAGCCTCGATGTACTGTTCATAGGGCACCCAATCGAACTGAACAAGAAATTAGGAATTAAGTTATAAAAATTTAAAAACGAAAAAAAAAAGATAAATTAATCATTAATTAGTGTCCTCTGTGTAAATTCATCTTACTACTTACAGTGGTCTTGTCTAACTAATATATTATTTCTATTTTAATGCAGCTTCGAAAACATGGAATAATGTCTGATAGACCCCACCCTTAGGCTATGTTTGGTAAAACTAGCTGATAGCCGATAAGCTAGCTTATAGCTTATATGTAATTTTCAAGCTTATAGCTTATAGCTTATGACTTATAGCTAAAAAGCTAGCTCATATGATAAAAGTGTTTGGTAAAATTAGCTGATAAGCTAGCTGGAATAAAGAATTCAACTAGCTTATTTGAAAAACTACCCTAAACAAGCTTATCAAATAAGCTCGTCCTACCAAACGGGGCTTATTTGAATACAGAAAGCTTATAAGCTAACCAAATAAGCTATAAGCTAGCTTATTTAGTCATATCCTGATATTGCCAGTTTCTTCTGGTTACGTTTTCTTCACATCGCCAGTCTACCTTCAGTTGTTCCCAAGCAGGAAATATATAAATCAATACTATAGATGATAAAATAAGAAATGTAACAGTTGCTTTTCTCCCTTCAAGGGCCTCTGTCCCTACGGATTGTCTCTACAACCTTACCATTCCTAGTATTATCCATTAGTGAAAGTACTTTCTTCTGAGTAACACACACACACACACACACACACACACACACACACGGACGGACACACGAGACACAGCTAAAAGTGACGTATTAGTCTTGTCCTTTGTTCCACGGAACCAATGCTCACGGCATATTACACAAGTTCAAAAACATACTATCAATATGTTTGAAAACGAAACACACAACTATTTGAATATCAGAATTAAACAACCAAATTTGTTACACTCATCACACAGAAATCCGAACGGAATTATACAATCAGATAAAGATACATTCCTAAAGCACTGCATCATTGTAGCTAAAACAACCCAGTAAAACCCAAAATAAGCACTTGATCCAAAAATAAAAGCTTTCTATCATGGATTAGGATTCCAAATATAAACTTGGCCTCCACCTGTTGCACCTGCGAGCATACCTACGTAGTACGGATGTGCATCAAAGCGGCATGGAATAGCAGTCATGAGGTCGCTTTTCAAAGTAGCAACAGTTTTCTTATCCGGAATGGAGATGACATCAATTCCTCGTTTCATATTACCGATGAAGATGGATGAATCATCCCAACCCCATATGCCTCTGTTACCAAAACGAGAATAACAAACCTATAACTAACTTATCCCCTAAAAAGGGCTTTGCAATTAACCACATCATATTAAGATTCTAAAGGAAGTAATCACATAGTACTAGTTATGTAGCTATATTTCAACATTTTCGTAATATTTATCAGTTACGGTGCATTTTCTGTGACAGGATCATGTACAGTAAAAATAGTGAGACAAGATTAATAAAAGCATATCAAGTTGAACCAATCTGTCCTCACCTATCTGGAATTCCAAACATGATTAGAAGAACTAGTTTCAAAAACAAAACAAGAACAAGGTTGTTTAAAGCATGTACTTGGGCCAGTTTTTAATGCCATGGAAATCGAGTGTAGAACAAAGTGTTGGAATTTTCGTCAAAATAAGGAAATGTTAACAATCCAGAAAATGAAATAGGAATACATAGGAAACTAAAACAATTGTTAGCTGCACATTCATGCAAGCCTTTCTTAAGCAAGAGAAATTCCATACCTGAATGTGGAGATCCATCTGCCTGTCTGATTGAAATGAGACATCATGTATGTATTCTCATAATTAGCTCCAGTTGACAATCCAACCTTGTCATCAAGACTGCAGGAACAGTTAAAGCCACTATCAAAATCCTTTTTCTTAATACCTATTAGTTTAAGGATTTTACTACATGCACATGTTTTAGTGTACATGAGGTGTGTACATATACTTACATGAAGAGGTACCCATTTTATAAACTATTTCGATGGGACCCACTTCATGTGACTGCAAGAACACATTTTTATGAACACTAAATTATATACAGGTACCATATTCGAAATTTAATAGTACATTTTACTACTACAATGCAATAACATATAGGCCAACTAACTAAGTTAAAGTCTCTGTGTGCAGGCATGGATGAAGAAGTTTTTTCAGATTAGAAACTAGTTTTTCCGGACTCATATGTTAAGGATTACTGAATACAAAAATATAGTGAAATAAAAGACCCTGAAAGATTTACAACAAGAAAAACTACATGGGAACTTGTTCACTTTGATATACCAAAAGCAATAAAGCATAACCACGATCACAAGCTAAACAGCAGACTGATTTTGTTATGTGATTGAACCCAAACAGACCTTGTTGTTGCCAGGAACTTCCCAGTGGGTGAAAAGAAAGCAGAATGCACAGCTCTCCTATGATTAACAGTCTTCAATGGCGTTGGCTTATTGGCATTTAGGCGTCTTAGATCCCAAATACAAGCAGTGGAATCTGTAGAACTTGTAGCCATAACATTCTCATTTTCCGAGCTAAAGTCTATGGTGTTGACTCTATCTACATGCAAATCACATGATAACAAACATTTTCCTGCTCGTACATCCAACATACGGACTGCTCCACCCTCACTAAAATACAAGGATTTTACATCATGTGGACTCAGGCATGTGGAGAATATAGAGGACTCACTGAAATGAATCAAGTCAAATACCTCCTTTTCCACATCCATCATTCGGATAAACCCATCATAGCACGAACTATACATCTGCACAAGCAACAATACAATGTTCACTCCATCAACAGGTGGATATAACGTAACACAAAATTGATAAACAGGCAATAACCTCGCAAGTGAGAATTTGGGATGAAGAAGTCGAGATGAAATCATAATCCAACCATGGTTTTATATAGACCAAAAGTATGCTCATCCTGTATATTATTGTGCTTCACATAAGCACTAATTCAAAGACATGGATAGTAATAAATATTTTGACAGTTTTCATGAACTCCCAATCTTTCGTAGAAATTGTATCAAGTAGCCAATTTTGTCATTCTAAATCCAGTTGATTGAGTGAACCAAACAGCCCAGCCATTGAACGGTTGATACCACAATCATGCAACAAGCGCAACCTTTTCTCATTTTTATATAATTCAGCAAATCTTTGACCATTAACTAAAGCTAAATAAAGAGCATAATGACTAAAGCTAAATAAAGAGCATAATGATTAATTAGTGACTCCAACTCTCAATATATAAGCAAAATAAAAGCAAAAACATAGTCCTACTTTATATTATAATAACCAGAAACAGGCATCAATACCTTAGAAATCGAAAAGGGGTCTATGGTGATTCCAGAAACAGGCCCTGAGTGGGGGTGGAACAAATAAATCCCGTCATCACCGGTCCTCTCGCCATTAACATTCCAAAATCCAATATCTCCAAACTTGTTGCCAACGACAACCATTTGCATATCCAGCGTAGGAAAAAACCTCACATTCATAATCCTCCCTGGCACCAATCGCGCTACATTCTCAGGCCTCAACTCCAATGCTGTCACATCAACTGCACCCCGCATTTTTTTGGTCACATTCAATTTCTCAACATCTTTAAAATCACAAGGAACCCCATCACCCTCACCCTGTAAAGACTTCCAAGAGAAGGAGAAAGTTTCCTTCAGTTTATATTCCAACCCGTCATCACCACGGTATGCATCAGTCAATGGAAGGGGTCCCTTCCTTCGAGGGGATTTTTTGTTGGAACTCAAGTGGGAGATATCCTTAATCTGCTTCTCATCAACAAGATCATCATCCAGGCCGGCGGCAGTGGCAGCATCAGGCGGCACCCCACGAGTTCTCAGCGAACGGCGGAGAACCACCGGAGTTTCGGGTTTAGGCTTCTTTAGTGGACTCCGTTTGTAAGATTTACACTCAGCCCTTAAAAAATAATAAATTTTCTCTATCAACCTATGCAGAATTAATTCGGCACAAAAAAAGCACCCGCAAAGAAGGAATTCTATTTGCTCATAGACAACAAAAAATTCTCCTGGTCAATTCTCAAATGAGTAGCCATTACTTTGACAACATAGGAAAGAATCACACACACACACACACACACACATACACACACGCAGAGAGAGAGAGAGACCTCTGGCGCTTGTTGGCGGCGTAGAGGTCGTTGAGGGTGGAGCGGATTTTGAGCGCCGCCAGCATTTCACCATTCCGCTT